TTTCCCCCCCCAGACCCCCATTCCTCCCCAGACTCCCATTTCTCCCCCATTTTTCCCTCATATTTCCCCCCCCGACCCCCATTTCCCCCATTTCTCCCCCATTTTCCCCCACTCCCCCCCAGACCCCCATTTCTCCCCCATTTCTCCCCCATTTCCCCCCCATATCCCCATTTTTCCCCCATTTCCCCCCCCCAGACCCCCATTCCCCCCATTTCCTCCGTACCAAGGGTGGTCCCTCGACAGATCTGAGATAAGCCCCGAAGGGCTCCCAGGGCCCGAAGACGACGGATCCAGGTGAGCACAGGTACCCCAACACCTGCGCGGGGGTCGGCTCCACACGGGACCCCCCGGCCCCCCGGTCCAGGTCGAAGCCCAGAGACACGGCCTTCATGGCCACCACCATCTGAGCCCCTGGGGGACCCCCAGAGTGAGGGGGGACCCCAAATTCATGGGGGAGGGTCCCCTGGGGAGTGGGGGGCTCAGGGGGGAAGGGGGGAACTGGGGGTCCCAGGGGGGAGGGAGGGCAGAGGGAAGGGGGGTCTCACCTTCATGGTCACCCCCATCTGAGCCCCTGCGGGACCCCAAATCAGGGACCCCCCAATTGGGGAGGGGGTGCCCCGAAAAGGTGGAGGGGTCCCAGGGCCTTTGGGGTTTGGGGAAGGGGGGAATTGGGGGTCCCAGGGGGGTCTCACCTTCATGGCCACCCCCATCTGAGCCCCTAAGGGACCCCCAGAGTGAGGGGAGGGACCCCAAATCAGGGACCTCCCAAATTGGGGGGGGCATAATTAGGGGTAGGGGGTCCCAGGGCCTTTAGGGTTTGGGGAAGGGGGGAACTGGAGGGTCCAAGGGGGGAAATTTGGGGTCCCAGGGGGGTCTCACCTTCATGGCCACCCCCATCTGAGCCCCTGGGGGACTCCAAATCAGGGACCCCCCAATTGGGGGGGGACCCCAAATTCCTGGGGGAGGGTCCCCAGGGGAAGGGGGGGTGGAATTGGGGGTCCCGGGGGGGTCTCACCTCTCATCTTGTGCCAGGTCACCGTGTCCACCATGTGCAGCTCCCTGGGAACAGGGGGAGCTCCCAGTTACTCCCAGTTCAGCCCAGTGACCCCCCAGTTTCACACCGGTGACCCCCCCCCAGTGCCCCAAAATCTCCTGAGAGCCCCCAAACCCCCTGAGAGCCCCCAAACCCCCTGAGAGCCCCTAAACGGTCCCAACACCCTCCCAGCACCCCCAAACCCCCTCCCCGTGCCCCCAAACCCCCTCCCAGCGCCCCCAAACCCCTCCCAGTGCCCCCAAACCCCCTCCCAGCGCCCCCAAACCCCTCCCAGCGCCCCCAAACCCCCTCTCAGCACCCCCAAACCCCCTCCCCGTGCCCCCCAGTGCCCCCCAGCGCCCCGTACCCCATGAGCAGGTAGCTGAGGGTGGCCAGGGTGAGGCAGAGCCCCCCAAACCCCCTCCCTGTGCCCCCCAAACCCCTCCCAGTGCCCCTAAACCCCCTTCCAGTGCCCCCCAGAGCCCCCATACCCCATGAGCAGGTAGCTGAGGGCGGCCAGGGCGAGGCAGAGCCCCCCAAATCCCATCTCAGTGCCCCCAAACCCCCTCCCAGTGCCCCCCAAACCCCTCCCAGTGCCCCCCAGTGCCCCGTACCCCATGAGCAGGTAGCTGAGTGCGGCCAGGGCGAGGCAGAGCCCTCGCTGTGCCCGTGCCCGGCTGAGGAGCAGGGTGAGGACGCAGAGCCCGCTCAGCAGGGCCACCCACAGCGCCTGCGCCCCGAAGAAGTGGTGCAGGGCCAGCAGCCCCCCCGCCGCCGCCCCCGCGTGCTTCCCCCCCACGGGGAGGGCTGCGGGACGAGGGGGGGTCACCGGGGGGGTCCCCAAA